ATATATGTTGATATTTTATATTCTCTTAATAGGGATAATATATACTTATTAATTAATGTTCAGTATTTTATATAAACGTTCAAATAGATTTCGAACAAGAAGCAGACGTTTACTATGAAAATGTAAATCGATTTTCACATGTCACAATCAATGTAGATGAATCATCCACAAGGAATCTCCAAAGTGCAAAAGTATAAATTCGGCTTAACTCTTTATAGGCAATCCTTTCTGAAATGTGAAAAGTATTACAGTTTCCTCTTGCGTTGCATATTGTGGATTATGGGCAAAGCAAGATTAAGTAAAAGATTTTTGTCTTTAAATAAAATTCCTTTTTTTTACTTTTGTATATTGAATTATACCTACTGAGAAAGTTGTTAATATACTATAGAAATTTATGAATTTATAGAATTTCCCAATCTGTAAAATTCAATAGCAGAATAACTTTTCTGTTTAAAAGTTAATGTTTGAATTATTTTTATTTACATTTATACCTGTAGTCTATGCAGTTATTAGCAACAATAATTTGCGCCTCTTTCTATTGATAAATGAAGAATTCATTATACCTATTGTAGCTGTGAACTATAAAGGGTTAAATCCGTACCGTTTTATTTACAAGATAAAGTTTGTTTACAATGTCATTGTATTTGTATCAAAGATTACATGTTATTTAATAGTTTTTCAAACGTTTTTAACTGTAGAAAACAATTTAGTGCTATTTAAAACAAAATTCTACGTTGATATTAAAAATACATATTTAATTAGAAATTAAAAATTTGATCAAATGAAATTATAAAAGAAAGAAGAGGCCATTGAATAGTATGTACCATTTAATGTAAATAAAATGGCATTGTAAACAATTTTATTTCCATAAAAACGATACGGACTTATGATTCAACTTAAAACACCATAGATTTCATGACTAGTATTTGTAATTTAATATAAATATTTTACCTATCGGAGCTTACATTTATTGACAACTGAATATTGAAAATAAGAAAATGTTTTTCATTTCAACTCTGAACCACCAATCATTTTAAAGAACATAATCTAATAATTATATTTGGAATTATTATATAAAATGCAAGTATTGGCCCACTTGACAGAGTAATATAGGTGTTGTTAAACCTATTAACAGGCTTCCGGTATGTAAAGTGGTAACTCAAATATGTCTATCATTTTTCAAAATAAGTAACTGTAAGGAAATTATATTCTGCCATTTCACTGTGTGCAATATCTCAAAATGAAAGTATCTTCTTAAAAATTAACTAACAGTAACTCAGAAATTTAAATCTTGAAAAAATCACCAGAAAAATTTGGACATGTTTGGGTTTAATTAGAGCAGAGTTTAACATTTCTAGACGTTGTCTTTCAATTTATGCTTATTTCAAAATATATTCGAATGCACTATGAACAGCCAAAGTTGGAATTTCCATTTTATTTTTACTATCGTAGATATTTAAATTTTGCATAGTTCTTATCTCTTGCCATATGATTCAGTAAAAATTGTATTAATAACATTAAATCAATAAAAGTTGAATGAAAGATGTAAAAACTATTAGCACTGACGTTGCGATGGATTAATCGCGATAAGTGTTTACCAATGGACGCGATAATCTCTGCAGTGAAGTCGTATTGACCAAACATCGTTTATAATACAATATACTCACTAATGACCAAAGTGCAAATGTTTATGCAAATTTAGTATCTCAAAGGAAATCTTTAAAAAATAAAAAAAAATTATAATTCGTATATTAATATGTTCTCACAGTACGAATAAAATATGTAATAACAGTATCTGACTTCATTAATTTGTTGCTTTATTATTATATTCACGTTTTGTAAAATCTACTTTAACAAGAATTAAAAAGAGAATAATAATTATTTATTAGATTTCACGTTATTTAACATTTATCTTTGTCCTTATCTTAGCATTTATTCAATACGCCCCATAACTATCAAAATAATCTTGTTATTACTCTGATCTTCATAAATATTTAAAAAAGATGAAAATTTGCATAAATATTCAGTTTATTTTACTACTGCGTTTAATAGTATCGTAATGCTTGCATTAATATCACGACAAAAAAGATTTGTTAATCGCATGTGGTAATGTTACACGCTTAACAAATTCAGCGATATTTAACAATGAGAAAATTTGAATGGTCTCATAAAAGAATATCAAATAGGAACGAATAGTTTGCAGTCGCTGAATAGCTGAATAGGAAAGAATGTTTACAATTAGTCGTCGATTAAAAATACAAATGGCCGACGATTAATTGCTGTTTCCGTTTGTAGATCAATTGACGTTCAATTTGTACGTCCATAAACAAATCGCTTTTTACAGAAAGATTGCTATTGTAGCCACTCCACTGAAACGATTTCAATCACGGTAAACACAATGCAATTTTCCATGAGGTTCAATCTACACTAGTTCAAATAAAATAAAATAGTATGGTGTGCTCTACGAGGCATTACATACAGAAATATTGCACACCGTTCTGAAACACCCTCGATATGAACAGCTTTAGAAAATTAATTTAGTCCACATATATTACACAATATTTATCAATATTGTGTCTTGTAACATTTTAAAATTTATTTAATTATTCTGTAATTCATCCATGACTAGTAATTTAATCTAATTTAATATTATTCTATTCAGAATTTTTTCATGAACAAGTCGACTAGAATTATTTCATCGCAAATAATTGATTTGCTCACAAATAAAAATAATTCTACTGAAAATCTCTAGATGTACTATCTAGGAATTATTTGATAACAAAACGTTGTTATTGTATTTTCATAGCAAAAAGAATTACAATATACACATTTTTTAAATGTCGTTTAAAAGTTTTTTTTCTCACTCCATATTGCAATGGTTAATAGTTATATTATCAATAAAAATACGAAATTAAGTTTCGCAGTTAATGAAAAGTAGAATTAGCAGGAATATTAAATGGCCAATATTGAGTTGTAATACACTGTTTTGATTAAATCTTCGTAAAACAGTAACTTGTTCAGGTGATTATCTGTGAAATGTGGTTTAAACGAACGCAACAAGTGTCTTATTGGAGTTGATATCGAAGTGGAAGTTACATTCATGGAACTGACTGAAAAGTTGTGAAGTTTCGTTTTCCAACAAACCTGGAATATTAATGGATGATGAAACTAAGTAATAGAAGCTTGGAAACACATTCTTTGTTGTTGCAGTTTGCATTTAAAAATTTTAAAGACTAACAAATATGTAGATTATTGATTTCTTATATTAGGTTACTGTATAAGTAAAATTTTTTTTTATACTAATTGTGAGGAAAAAATGTAAAACACATTTTTAATCACTGATCAGTTAATCGTTACTTAATTCTTATTAGAATATATAGATTGATATTCTATATAAAAGGATAGCAAACAGGAATCCAAAAAAATATAAAACACAATTCAATTCAATACTGTTTCTAACTCAATGTTAATATATTAAAAACACTAAGAGAAGAAGTCTCTGTTTAACTTCAGTGTTCGTAAATTTAAGTTATATATTAAATACAAAAGTTTAAGTAGACTTGCCAAGTTTCCCACATGAAAAACAAAAAATTGGGGTTTTGAACATTTTTTGTACATTCATTCAGTTGAAATTAAACAAATTGCTAAAAAGTACGATACTATTAATATCTTGTTTTCATAAAGCAGACATATATTAAAGTAAATAAAAGTAATTAATATATTTTTAGTAATCAAATTTTAATTACAACAACGTATTTATAAAGAAATATTTTTCACTTTTCAGAACCTATCTAACGTCAGTCAGTAACATAAATCATTGTCCATAAAATGTTCAAAACCCCCATTTTTTTTAAATATTTGAAATTTCGTAAGTCCATATATAATTTTCTGACCGATTAATTACAGGGTGTCCCACCTAACTTCGATACCTTAAACATCTCACTTGTTTATAATACAGAGAACTGTTAAAGGAAAACATCATTCAGTTTGAAAGAACAAATATTGCGCTGAACAAAAGATTTGGTAAACATTTCTAACAAAAAGCCTTTTTAACAATATCCTTCAAAGGTAAATATATTACTATTTTCTTACCAAGAACAACAAGCAGTATGAATTTATGTCACCAGAATTACATACTTTCATTAAAAACACAACACTGGTGATTATGAACTCCTGAAAAGTAACACTACCTCACCAAAAACTTGCTCACTACAATATGTCTCTATTCAAACCAAATAACCATTCCCTCAAACATTTTCTCCTACCATCAAAAACTCGCCATCACACTAAAGATTCCCAAGTTAAAAATACCCGATACATCAAACCAATTCAAAGCTAATGATTAGCTGCTAGGACCCAACAGTTAGCTCTCAACCCCCTAAACTCTACAGCCCAAACTCCTAATCAAATAACAAGCCCAAAAACTACAATCCCCACTTTTATAATATTCCAGGATGCACGAGGACCGCACTGCTATCAACAAAAGCGATCCCCATCAGAAGAGCAGCGACAATGCGTGCTCACAACGGTGCTGCCAGCATCGGCTCTAAGCCGAGTAGTAATTCGTCTTCGCCGTGCCTGCACAGATACTCTAGTCAGGTGCGCAGCCATCATTCGAGGACCAGCAGCGTGGTGTCCAGAAACAGTTCCAGACACGGTCGGATTATCCAGCTGGAGCAGAAAGCGACGAAGGTGCTAGGCGTCGTCTTCTTCACCTTCGTCATCCTTTGGGCCCCCTTTTTCGTCTTAAATTTAATCCCAGCGGTGTGTCCTGATTGCGAGCGTCAGATAGACCACACTATCTTCGACCTGGCCACCTGGCTGGGCTACGCCAGCTCGATGGTCAATCCTATCTTTTACACGATCTTCAACAAGGTCTTCCGGCAGGCCTTCAAGAAGGTTTTGCTCTGCAGATACAGGAACCAACCATGGCGGCCGTCTAGGTAGGCCTTCGACCCCGGGAGACCGGGGATCGCTGTGACCAGAGTTTGAGGCTCTAGGACACGGGTGAAGATATTCTGACGGAACTATGAAGAATTACTTTAGTGTCCGAGTGAGAGATCGTTGGGAGGATTGTTAAGAGTGAGATAAAGAAAGGAATAAACGGACAGAGGTGAATTTTCATCGGGATTTAACGTCGACCGTGATTTAAACCTTTAATCTGCTGGAGAAATGATGCTCTTCGGCTTAAGCAGATCGAGTGAACAGTAATCCTCAGTGGTTGTTTGTAGAGTAGTTATTGCTTTGATGGAAGAATTTTGTTGGAAATAATGAAATCGCGTTCGTGTGGAAGGCTCAAATACAGTGGATGGTTTGTAGTGTAAGATCTTCTTTAGCTCTTCCGCGCGATGTTTCAACGATTAATACGTTAAGGGGATGATGAACGGTTTATCTTCCAGTTAGAGGTAGAGGATGTTAAAAAGGGATTGAGTGGGCTGAGATTGGAAGCTTGAGACGGCTCGACTCTGCATTACTCTGGTTGAGGGTGGTAGAACTGTTACTAGGATGAAGTTTACAGAGTTTTGTTTAGGAAATTTAGAAGTTTTAGTGATTGTTTTATTTAGTCCCTAGTCTGAGGTGTTTCTGATGATTCTTTCCTGAATTTGTATCAATAACATTGTATCCGATATTACTAATTTAGTAGTTTACTGATTTTATTAAAGAACTAATAGTCACTTCACTAATTTATTAATTTATTTTAGTAATTTAGTTATAAAGTTTGACAAGTAGGAATGTTGTACTTGCGCACACATGTTTATGAGATTGTAAATAATAATAGAAATAAAATACAAATTAAATTATATTCCAATCGATGAAACCGAGATATTGTACAGAGTGATAGACTAGTTGTATCTGATGCAAGACCATTTATTTGTTGCGATTTTCTGACACGATTTGCAATTAAAATGGAAGATATGGCTTTAAATATTTAAGAGAATGCTCATGTTCGATTTAAATGGTTATTCAGGTTCATAAGGATAAATTGCTTAACAAGAAATATAGCATGCAATGAAGAATGTTCTGAATTGTTTTATGCAATTACCACGACTCAGTTCTATTGTGAGTCATTTTAAGAAGCTGTCGTTATATTTACACTCTGGGACGTACACTAATAGATAAAAGGATAAGGCACTGTAACAATCTCTGGATTATGCATCAACTTGTACGTACATACACATAAACAAATTTATGTAACAAAAATACCAAGCATTCATTCTGAAATAATACATTACAAAGTAAAATAAATTGTTCGACCAATCAGTTGTTTATACAGAAATTATGAAATTAAGTTTATATTGTAACATGTAACCCAGTGAATTAGAAGAAGCATTAAAAACAAATGAAATTACGCATTTTCTTGTAATAATAGTAAATACAATTTTTTAAATGAATTTATTTAAATAATTTAAATCTAATTGTTAAAAAATTTAATTTATTTAAATACTTTCATCGCATTAAGAATAAAATATTATTGTAATATATAATTCTTACTGTACTTTTGGTTTAACCGTTGGTACCATTTTCGTTTAAAAATACGCGTACACTGACATCGGAACGAACGAGTTGAAAAAGACAAATCTATTAGAGTCAACCAGACCTCACACGAATAATGCAGGGTTGAATCTTCCATTCGACGAATAGAGATTGCTCAAGAGCCGAGGAATTCTCGAAGAACACTCGAGTCGAAGAATTGTTGCGACAGGAAGACAATCGAAAACGTTCCGATCGCGAGGTCCGAGCTTGGTTCTCGGTAACGCCGACCGGAAATTAAGATGCAGCTCGCCGGAATCGCTGTAATTTGGTCGCGAAACGTTTATGAACTTTTAACGAGCAACGCGGAAAGCACGCGGGACGAAGAATCGGCCATGGAAGCCAGTCAAAGCGAATTTCGGCCATTAACTCTTTACGGACGAAGAATTTTTGAAGTGTTCTAAACATTTCGCAGAGGAAGTTAAATTGTATACAGGTCTCGTACATTCCCACGGCAAAGAAACCTTTCCACTGATCTCTTGTTATTTAATACTAAAACTATCAGACGGGTTAAAACAACTAATTCCTGATTTCTTCCTTTTGCAATTATTAAAAAGATAACAGATGTTTCTATAAGAAGATATTAGAGAAATTAATTTAGCAAGTATGCAAACTGAATTTTAAATTAATTAAAGTCTCAATAGATGCACTCCTCGAGTTTCTATAAAGAAATATCAAAAAATCAATTTAGCTGCTCGGTAATTATAGTGTTAAACGGTTTACTTACGTCTTTGCGACTTTGCATTCGAAATATGGAAGTGTCACGTCGCCAAAATAATGGTATTCGTCCTTAAAGGGTTAATACGGTACGTGCACACGAGTTATTAGATTATTAATGTCACCGTGCGAATGGGTATCGCCTCCTTCGAATGAAACCTCGGATTTGCATTGTCCTTTCGTAACAAATCGGTCTGATCCGATGCCTTATTCCAAAAAAAGACTTCTGCGTATGATCAGACTTGTCTCTGGACAAGAGATGGGTTCGAATCTTTTTCACTTTTGGGATATGTTAACATGGTGGGCAATTTTCGATGAGATTAACTTATATCACTATATACGAGAAATGTCAACTATAGTATTGTTAGTTAATGTACTTTAAATAAATATGCTGACAAAATATTTAATATTCTTTAAATGATGTAGTAATTAAAGAGATTTCTCGTTTCAGGTACAGAATGTCTTGATAAATTCATACATGGAAAGTGAAGAAGACTCACCAATTCGAAGTTTTTAAATAAAATTTAATTTACTAATAGAGGTTTACTCATCGCTTGAAATTAGTAATAAGTTTCCTAAGTATTATCAATTCTAATTACAACTAGTAGGAAAACTGTAGCTAATTTTATGAAACATCGATGACGATGCATCATGATAGTTATTTACAAACGAAGAGCTTTTTTTCACTTTCGGTACAAACTAGGTGATTTAAAGAATACTAAATAATAATATAGTAATATTAAGTAACAATAAGGTATTTGAGCTTTTTCACATAGTGATATAGGTTAAACTCATTGAAAATTGATGAGTGTGTCAATATTAGACAAAAAGAGAAAAGGACTCAAACCTATCGTTTATCTAGAGACATGTTCTAGAACAAACCTCAAGGGACTTTGAAGCTGATGCTACTTTCATGAGACTTTTTTAGTTGGCAATACATGGATCATAACATATCGTACAAATAACAACAAAAATTCAGACTCATCAATTTTCCAGGGACTAATGCCGAGGCAAATCTCATTGTGTACAGGAGCCTTAAGGAGACACGTTATGAACGTGAAGTGTAATCCCGTGTTAACCCATTTGCATCGTTAGGAGATTTAGAGCTCGCATTAGGCAATGTTTAACCATTAAATCTGTAACGCATTCAATGATTAAATAGGCACAACTTGTTATATTAATTAAATATTCTATTATCTATCACCACGCTGAATATTCTATTATTGATCACAATGTGAAATGGACGCATTGATTCCATCACTGAGTAATTAGAGATTAAAGTAGGAGTCTTAATGATTGAATGGATCAATGATCCAATCGGTTACTTGATTGCCAATCAGATTAATAATTATGTATAATATTGTTAAAGAGTTTTGTTATTTCTCGATCGCACTTTAAAAATTGATCTAAATAGTAGATAGAATGAAAACTGTATATACCTTGCATAAAATTCATTAATACTTTTAGTCAACAATCAATAACTAGGAATTAATAGTAATAATTAGAGAAGCGACGTTAACTTTATCAATGATTGCTGATGATTCGATTTTGATGATTTAAGAACATTCGAATGAATATAATTGATGAGAATACTTGTCATTTGCAGTTAGTAAATTATGTAAATACCTGTTTCATTTGATAGAAAGAATGAACTTATAGGACCCAAAGATTTTGTATTGTACATACATCCCTACACGATGTAAATGGATTAACAAACGCTTTTGCTACTAAGGTATTCCCTCCTTATAATCGCGCCCCAACGATCTCGTTATAAAAGCGACGCTATCCCTATCGGATCGTGACATTTTCGTTTACTTACATATCCTCGTCGCTTTCACCGTTAGGGGTACGGAAAAGTCTTTTCGCATTTCAAACCGTGCGATTTCAATATTTCGAATCTGAGCCAACAAGTTTCCATAAAGAGGAAATGGAAAAGATGATTCAAACATGCGAATAGGTCCTTGAATATGACAGCGATAATGTCGTTACTTAAATACAGGTAATTAGTGTTGTAAAAACGAGTCTTGAACCTCAAGTCTCGAAAGTTGCAGCCGAACTCAGGATTTAAGATGTAAAAACTGGTCTTTAACGCTCGAATCATTATGCTTGAAGACTCGAGGCGATTTGATTCTTCGAGCATAAAGACTTTAGCGTTGAAGATGAACGAGTTAAGTTTACCTTTTTTATCTGAAGGCAATATAGGTCTTTATAAAAGCGTTTTAAATCGTGTTAGTTAGATTAAATTCTTTAAATCAGCTTAACATATTATATGCAAATAAATTATATGCGCTGAAATTTAAAGAAAGAATTTTCGAATAAAATTGTCAGTCAGTAAGGTGTTAAGGCTCAGATCGAGCTTTTAAAGCTAAAATGCTGAGCACTGACGCTTCAGAGACTCAGTCTTTAACCATTTGAGGCCCAGGGGCCATTGAAAAAACACTGTCGAAAACTACCGAACAGCACAATAATGTTTGCCTGAATTAATTAATCAAGCGGCGCGATAGCGCTTTTCTTATTTTGTGTCGACAAATACCAGTCAGCGCGACAGCGCTTGATTGAATTTATGTTTGCTGGTGCCAAGTAACGGATTCACACTCGTTTCCACGTCGTCAAACTTGTATTATCTTTATAATTTTTTTCAGTAAAAATTATTGAAAAGATGACAACAAAATATAAAATGTCTTACTTGTATTATTTACATAAAAAAAAGAAAAAAAAAACTAGCGACAGCATGTACGTATGGAAAAAAAGTTGAGCGCACTATTTCGACAGACTGTGAGCGTACCATCAGTTGTCCGTAGCGTATAAATATACTGGGTCTTTTCGACATAAAATCTAAACAGCGCTATCGAGCTGCTTAGGACTTAAACGGTTAAGGTTGAGCCTTAAAGCTTCGAGGACTTGAACTTTATGAAATATTAAGCCTGCAATATTGAACTGTGACGCTTCGAGGACTTGAACTTTATAGAATATTAAACCCTCAAGATTCAGCATTTATGGTTCAGCTTTGAACCTTTAAAGACTTGAGCTTTACAGAATTCTAAGCCTTCAAGATTCCGCGTTTCAGATTCAGTTTTGAAGTTTTCAGGACTTGAGTTTTATAAGATATTAAGTCTTTAACATTGAACTCTGAAGCTTCAAGGACTTGAGCTTTATAGAACCCCAAGCCTTCAAGATTCGGTATTTAAGGTTGAGCTCTGAAGCTTCAAAGACTTGAGTTTTGTAGAACAATAAGCTTTCAAGGTTGAGCTTTGAAGCTTGGAGGGCTTGAGCATTATAGAATGTTAAGCCTTGAAGGTTGAGCCTTGAAGCTTCGAGAATTCCAGCGTTTTACAACACTATAGGTAATCACTCACTTTTTATTACTTTCCAGCGAAGTTTTACGATAAAAAGGAGAAGACTTTCCAGTACTCCTACTACTTTCCGGCTCTATCGGTAAAACAGCAGTGAATCGGTGGAAAACTAAGTATATCCACTGTTCTCGATGAACACTCTAACGTGAACTGAACGATGCGAGTGTATAAAGGGAATACTGTAGAATTGGTTGCACGGAACAAAGCTTGGCTGCGTGCGTTCTAAAAACTTGCGTGCCATGAAACACTTTCGAAATATTGCAACAGAGAAGATAGATGAAATCTGTTAAATAGATTGTTGAACAAGAAGTGGACGTTCTAGAGAAACTAGCGGTTGCTAATTATGCGTTATGATTAATAGTTCTGATTATTATAGATACGCTTACAAGGTGACAATTATATTTATGATATAATGTCCCTTTAAATTAAGTTCAAGTACTCTCTTAAACAACCTTTTAAATTAACTTCTCCTCTGCGTTGTAGGGTAACTAATTTTTATGTAAAATAAAGGTTATCCTTTTCATTGAGAGATCTTTGAGTTGAATATAAATTCGTTAATAAGATTATCTTATTATTAAAATTCACACTCTAGTTGGAAAAAGGAAATTTTAAACGAACTTCGAAAAATAAATTTGTACACTGTTCTTCTGTGAAAAGTTAATGCTTACACAAGAAGAAACTAATTGTTATAACAATGTCAAAATTACACTTAGTCGA